GGCAGTTGTCAAGCAATAGATTCAAGAGTAAACAGAAAAAAAGGTACGACGCACAACAGATTTTCTGTGTGGGAACAAGTCCTGGAAATTAAAATCAATGCACTCCTTGACCGACACCGTTGTTGTGCCGCATTCAGGCTTCTGACGATAAACCAGCACACCACCCAAACGTGAGCTCGGTTCAGTTAGGAATTGTGGCTCAGCTGAAAATTTCACTCCAGTGACAGAAATATCAACCTAAATGAAGCCCGTCTGTATTTGGAAAGTAAAACATTTCCCTGGCTTGCTCTCAAGGCTTCTGGCTGCCATGGCAACAATGTTGGTCTCTGAATGACTCATCTTTTCAGTGTCTATCACACAACAGGAGCTGTAAGCACTTCAGCCTCTCCACTGCAGGAGGGAAGAAGCATTTTGCTGGCTACTATCTTTTAGCACCTGAAAAAGCTGGCTGCAGATATTTCCATTCTTAGTCTAGCTATTCTCGGAGCCGGGAACGGTGCAGATGAATTACATGTTGTAACTAAGTTAAAGCGGGTGAGTTAGGCATGTTTTCAAATTTGGAAAATCATGTTCGAGTGATCACATTATGTTAAAAGGACTATTGTGGCATTTTAACATTTCCCCCTCGTCACTTGTGGCACTTGAGCAACTGTGTAAACTAACAGAAACAGCTCTGCCAGTTTCTAACACAATACCAGTCATTTATCTCCAGTACACCTGAGACGGTCGTGCTCTTGCACAGTTAGAGGGTTTTGCACAAACATATAGACACAAATAATTCAAATCATTTCAACAAATTAGCACCTAAATATACAGTAAATATGGACACCACGGCCTGTGAACGTCGCTTGCTTGTGAGACCAGACTAATGTCGTGACTCATTCGACTGTGTGCTACTAGTCAACAGAAGGACAGTCAATGAATGGAGTCGAGCGTTTGTGGACAGTTCTGTGAACCTCCTCAAAATGGGAAAAAACAAGGCAGAAGTAGACATTTATTTATGATTTCTCATTTTAAACTGGTGTCAATTACACTGACTTAACTATGAATGAGCTTTTCTTCAAATGCTCAGAATAAGTGAACGTTTGAGTTCAGAAAACGACCCTGTGACACACTGAGACGCCAGTCAACAGGTGAGCAACCAAACCACACGTCAAGACTGTTTTGTCAACTGTGCTACCACAACATACATTTTTGAGAGAAGCTGATGTACAATTTCCTAACCGCTGAACATAAGTCCCGATTTTAGTTCGCAAATTAATCTCAAGCACAAAGTCAACACTTGGAACCGCAGCACATATCGACTTTCTTTGCACTTCCATCACAACGTTAGATATTAAATTTAGCTCAGCATATTACACCCATGAGCCACAACATTAAAACCACCGATGGTAAACGACACCGATTATCTCGTTCCAACCCAGTGCTCTGCTGGGAAACCTCTGGTCCTGGCATTCATGTGGATGTTACTTTGACACATACCACCCACCTAATTACTGCAGACCAAGCACACCCTGTATGATCCCACTGGTATCGAGCATCTGTGGGATGCGCCACAACATGCCTGATCTACGGAGGCACCACCCTGCAACCGAGAAGACCTAAAGAATCTGCTGCCAACATCCTGGCACTAGACACCACAGGACAACACCCAAGGTCCTGCGTCCATGCGTCGTCGACAATTTAAAGTGCTGCATGAGGGGGATTTACATAATACCAGGTGGGTGGTTTTAATGTTGTGGCAGAATAGTGTTTGTTCTTATTCTAGTATAAACTACAGAAGAACATATAAGAACATCGTGACTGTAGCAGGCTACTTTTACAAGCTGCATGTGAGTGAGCATTTTGTGCTGTGTCACCCGTGCATTACTCTAGATAAAGTTTACAATGAGCAAGATAACCAATCTTTAAGGCCTTGTGGTTATTTATGACTCTGTTCCACTGCGACAGGAGAAAAGAGAAATCCTCTGCATTAATCTGTGTTGAGAAACATCAAACACTGTTCTATAATAATAATAATATTAAGTAAAATACTGCTTTAAATGTGTCTGTACCGGCAGTTCGAGCCACCAAGACGAAGCACAAATCAAGCTTCCAGTGAAAGAAAGTGGGATAATTTGCCTGTCACGTTGATCCTTGTCAAGACAGTAGCTGCCATGCTGTTTCAAGTCAGTTTTGGCCGTTGTTGTGGTGCAACGCTCTAGTTTGGGAAAACCATGCCAAGTGTTTCAAATGCCACATAGCTGCGGCACTTCTAAATATCTCAGCTCTCTATGCATCATACAAGGTTCCCAACACAATAACAAGCAATACATTCTTGACAATCCTTTCCAGTAATTTGAAAGCAGTCATTGTTGATAATTTATTTTTTACACATTTAGTCTTCAGCGTTTGAGAAGTTGCATCATGTTCCGACTACCTGATCAGGCAAGTCTTTCTTACTTCAGCTCTGCTATTCCTTGTAACATCAACGCATTTGCCAAGTTGTTGAGACTTGTCTTAGTTATACGTGTGAGAAATGTGCAAATTAAAGTCCAGTCATCCGATTTAATCACGTTGTTCTAATTGTGTTTTTATTGTGGGGCACAATGACATTCAGGATTTTTTATAACATAACGTTATTCTCTCCATTTAACATGATGCAGTAAACATATGATGCATCGTTCCACTGCCTGTATTCGTGCTATAAACTTAGCTTTGTTATATCTCAAACACACCGTCGATCATTTTCACACCTCTGTGTAATGCCGGCTTAACGTAAACGACGCAAGATGCATGCTCCGCTATAGCAAAGTAATTTGTGGAACCACTTTGGAGTACACAGTGAAACTGCACACAGGCTCAGCAGGATTAGATTTGACCGCAGGCTAAAGGAAGACTGACAGACATCTAGCTGGGTGCATGCTTACTTCTGTCACAATACAACAGCATTCTGGAAGAAAAAGATATGATTGTTCTTGTGTATGACATCCTAAACAGCAACAGTTGGTCCATGTGAGTCCAATTTTGTTCTAAATCCATTAGCCTGGTCGTCCTTTAACTGCTGCTAACTACCCAACCGTGTGTCCTACAGTGACCACCGATCATGTGTCAAGGAAAAACAGCATTTGAGTTGACACATGGACTCACGGCGTGCTGAAACAACCTGGAGTTCATAATCCAAGTGTGACATGTACAACTCTACACGACAAGCAAACTTGCAGAAAACAAGGCAAGGTTCATGAGTATATACAGACTTTTGAATTTGAATAAATATCAAATGCATGATGTTGGAATTTTGCCAATAACTGATCTGGTGACATTTTCCAGCTCTTTCGGGACGATTGCTGATACTGATTATCACTTAATTGCACAGAACATCAAGTCTCTGCTGGAAAAGGAATTAATATATTATAATGCCAAATCTTGTCTTGATGGCCCAAAGGCAGGCACAGACCTAAAGCAGAACGCTGCTCAAATGTACACATTCACTCGGCAAGATAAGAAGCTTTACATGTAAAACATCTAAGTTTATGTAAGATTTGCAAACACAACTGTAAACTTTTAGCGCGACAGGCGTCATCTGCATGTCAGTGCTCATCGTAGGTTGATGCCAATATCTGCTTTACTGATCAGTAATGATGACAGGCCAGTATCACCATGCATCTCCTGTTTATACACATTTGAGGTTTAGAAAACATTACAAAAACCACAGTTTCACAAACAACTACTAACTAGTGCTACAGTTGACAAGCAGGTCACATTCCAAACCCTCCACCCCGCATGCCTGTCCCTTCCTAAAACACACAGTTGTGCATCAACTGACAACAGACTCTGCTAGGTTTGATACCGGCCACCCACATGAACCCACACAGTGTCACATTTCACCCAATGCATCTCTGCAGTCCTGCGTTCTCCACTACACAGGCCCGAGGATTTGCTTGCTAGTTTCCACTGACATGAGAAGGCTCCACACATCACTTTGGGACTGAAAACGACTAACAAGTCAAAAACTAACAACCGAACATGCAACAGGTGGCTCTCACTTTCTCTGTGCCTTTCACTCTTGTGTAGTGTTATTGCATACAGATGAGTGCAGTGAGTGTCAGCATCTGGCTTGGTTTGGATCAGTACTAGCTGGTTAGTGAATGGGAATGAGTGAAGCCTGCTTTATGCTTCTTCATTCAGAGTTTCAGCAATTCTGCCTCTGGCAAAAAAAACACACAATTCTGAAGTCTGCATGTTTGCAATGGAAATTTCTTTAAATCCTCACAATATCTAAAGTTGTCGAGTTGCAGACAAAAGATGATTACAGAGTTGTTCTTCAACTTTCTAAAGCTTGTCGTCACTATCAACAGTCTCCACCAGCATCAGCACACAGGAGACAGACAAAACAACAACACAGCTCATTGTGATTCTGTCACAGGTCGCTGTATCTGGGTATCCCCAACCTGTAGCCACCTCTTTGTGGAGCTCTGGAGATGGTGGAGATACTGAGGCTCTGAATGTGCCCTTACCAACATCATGATGTCTAAGCATAAATCCCTCTGTATTTGTGTCCCTGCACGTCAAATAAATCAGCTGTAAGCGCTCAAGTGAGGCTGTGATGGGCCTTTGTAAGACACCGGAAGGAACGTGAAGAGAACTGTTCACGAAACTCTCTAAGAACATAAAACTGATGTAATGCACTTTGGCAGACAGTCCTGTAATCATGTCAGATGCCCTGTGGTCAAGTCTTACAAGCTGCTTGCACAGAGGAAAAAGCAAATAACTGAAGGGAAAGTTTGGAGATGAATCCACTAAAAAGAAACCCTCTGGACCCAGCAGGTTCAGTGGACCTGTGCACAGAACAGCACCGCACAACATATTTGCACAAGACGCTGTCACTCCAATTGTGTTGCCTGCAATTCTGGTAATGGGCTGCATGTGACGTGCATTTGCTGCAGATCCAGCCGTGCAAACAGCACGCTGGTTATGACGGACTATTTTAAGCGGCAGACCCCTTCATCCTCTTACCGTACCTTTGAGCTGCGGCAGCGGGGAGAGCTCGACCGGAGCGCTCTGAGTGCGGTACTGAGACGAGCCTTGGGATTTCCTCTGTTTCTGCGCCTTCCTCATGGACTTCCTCGTAAACCCGTCCACTTTCTCGGATGCAGAGATGGCCGACATTTTGATGCACGAAGTCTTCAGACGAGCGATCGTATCCCTGGGTCAAATGAAAGGTTTCCTCCTGTGGTCCTACCGCTTCACATCAGCGCCGAATTACGGAGCAAAACTACTGGAGCTCGTCTCCTGTCCGGGTCTTATTCTGTATCATCCAACATGGTCGGTCGGTTTCGGGGTTAGATTGTGTCCAAAGGCTGCATCATTAGCTTGCTTTTTTTTTTTTTTTTTAATCTGTTTTTTATTTTTATTTTTTATGTTCAAAACCAAAAAGCCAAACTAACACTCAGCGCCCGCACTTAAAACCGAGAGTTAACACCATAAGACGAATTAAGTTCCTAAATGTCTGACTGTTTTTGCTGCTTCGTCGTGTTTGCAAAACGTCTACCTGTTGCAGGAGGTATGAAGGACATGGTCATTATAAAAAAAAAAAAAAAAAGTTGCCTGAATTACCCGTAAAGTCGCGGCGCAGCGCGGCGAGCCTGACAGCTAACGCACCTAGCTAGCTGCTAAAATTAGCTGACGTTGATGTGAGCTCCGACAACAATCTGCACCGCTGTCGAGAGGTGAAGAAAAGTTCCGAAAGATAGTCGCCCCATGAAATTCGCGTCGTCCTTCGTCAAAACACCAAGTCCGCGTCTTCAAGTTGCGGTTTTAATCCCAGTCGGACTTCTTCCGCTGACTATGTTTCAGAAGAACAACTCTCCGCGAGCGATGAACTTCATTTTCGCTTCAACGGGCTCACTGAGCGCTTAAAAGTTAGCCGTGTCGACGCAAACGGGGACTCCGTTCTCAGCCGCTTTTCCTCTCCGGAGAATAGCGCGACGGTTTTCACGGCCTCTAAAAACACCGAGGTATTCTTGAATACAACGCAAACTGGTGGCTGTCGAGCGGAGCAGGCAGCCATAAACACTCCCAGCGCAGCCGTTCCGTCGCTGTCTGTCTGTGCGCTGGACTGCGGAGCGCTGACAGGTGTGCGTCACTGATGGACGTTCGCGAGCAGCCAATCACGGGCGCGGATATTTAAAATGGAAACTTTTTCAGCCAATCGGGTGGCGCAGAAGGCGGGGCCCGACCATGTGACATGTGAAAACAAATAGGTGACGTTGTACAGTCGCATCCTGAGCTGAATGAGGGCTGGCAGGCAGCTGTAGCTAGTATTTATGATCTGCGCTGAAAATCCTCAGCTTCTAAACATGTTTTACTGCTGCTGTGACAACCTGCGTTACACCTCCTACATGCTTGTCTCTTCAAATATAATTAGTTTTCACTGACAACTTCTGCTTCTCCAGTGTATCTCTGGGGAAAAGCTGCTGTCATCCATCCAGTTCAGTAAAATCAGAAATAATTCAAACCAGGGATAGCAAACATTCGTGTATATGACTGAAATCTGGGGCAACAATTACAGAACTACAGCTTCAACTTAAGTCTTAACCACCTTTCACCTTCACATTTGCAAGTATTTTTACTGCACACTGTATGTTTCTGCATTACAGATTTTCCCACATCTTTGCAGCCTTTTTTACTACCTTGCTGGGTGAATTGTTTTGTGCAAGACATGTTTTTTTGTTCGCCATTACTCGTCGGTTCTTGACTGTAGTGGTAGCTGCTGAATCAAAGCCATTTTCTACAAACGATCAATAAGGTATCTACTTTCCTTCAAATAAAACCTGAGGAGGGTTCAGTGTTTTATGGATGCATTGCTGCCACCTGTGTTTCACTCCCCACTACATTTATCAAACAAACACACTGATGAGATGAAGCTAGTAACACACGCTCAAAACCATTTTAAATTTAATAAAGTTTGACTACAGCAATTTGAGTCAATTAAATACAAATAAACCATCCATTGGTTGTTTTGTACACATAAACAATTTAAGCATTTTCACAAGAAAAAAAAAAAGGGAAATTGTATGTGCAATACTGGTTGAACAAAAATCAAACCCATACATGGTAAAAGCCACAAACTGATAACGATATAAATGATGTGATGGACTGTGACCGGCTCACACTGTAGTATTGCTAAATGGCCATAAAAGGGCCTAAACGTGTGAACCAAATCATTGTTTGTTTGTTATTTAGCAGAGTCTCCACACTCGTGGGCAAATATTTTTCTCTGCACTTGAGGATCGATACCAAGTCAATCTAATGACCAGCTTAATAAATGTTGGCGATCGTATTAAATGTTTTGTGAAGTTGTGCGATTCAAGTAAAATGAAAGATTTACTATGCAACATGCAACTTCATTTCCTGAATAGAAATTGTGCACAGTGCAAGAAACTTGTGCAGGAAGTGACTGCAAAACCTATGAACCAATTATTTAACAAAAAACCTGCTCAAAAAACCGGGTCACTGCGTGTCAAAGCCGCAGCATCAAATATTTAGCATGGCTGCTACGTCAGTTTCGATGCAACCCGGGTTCATGTGCTCCTGTAATTTGGACGTAATCAGTTCTTAGAGGCGTATTGTCACTTAAAAATATCCTAAATAAAAATATATCATCTTAAAGCATCTGATCGGCTCAAGTGGGTCACTCCAGAGGCCTTCTTGTGAAATACATGGAGATTTTTTTCATGGTCTGCGGCGAGCGGATGGTCTGAAAAACAAAAATGAAAAAAGGTCAGCAATCATCTTCTTCCTCAACAGCTGTTAAAAAACATGCATGCATGGAAACATTAGCACTGATAAGGAGAGGCAGCAGCGACTCCTCAAGCCTTAAAGAAAGACTTTAACATTCTGGAAAATGAGCTTATTCAATCCCACTCCTATGCCTGTACAGTAAATACAAAGCTAGAGGTCTCTTCCAAACCTGCTAGCTGTGGACTTACAGGTGAAGCTGGTGTCTTGCCTTCTTGCTTCTTAGAGGTGCTGGGACTTCTGGAAGTACTGGGGCTTCCATGACTTTTCTTCATCTTTTGGCTCATCTCTGACAACCAGTTCGCTCCTCTGGGAGAACAGTTCTCTTTGCCAGTCTGTCTCCAGGAAGCCTGTTTGCTGTCCTCTGTGTGACAGTCTGTTTGCACCGAGCTCTCCTGAGCAGGGCAGCAGATACCAGGCAGGACGCGGTTTCTCTTGGCTGCAGGGTACAGTTCAGTAACACAGTCACACTGTTCGACGCTCTCACAGCCTGCAGAAGAACTGCCGCCAGTTTCCAGCCTCCGTTTGGCCCGTCGTTCTGTGGGAGAGGTGCTGCTCGCTGGGCTCTGGGGACACGGGCTCAGCACCCGGCAGAGCGGAGGGCTGACCTGGCCGGGGGATGCACGGCCCGGGGATAGCCACTGTTTGATAGACAGCGGTGTTCTCTGGCGAACAGCGGCCACCTTCGCGTCCTGAGAGGGGATGGGCGATGTGGTACTGGAAGGAAAAGGCAGGGCCGCTCCGCTGGGAGCACAGGCAGCAAGCCGGGGTGAGGATAAGCCACCAAGACTCTGTGTCCTCTGGGTCTTGGCAGGGGTCGTCTCAGCTCTGACTGAAGGCCCTGAACAGGACGAGTCAACATTAGTCAGATGTGACGCTGTTCATAGTTTGACATATTCTGCCGAGCAGCAGTGATTTAGGAAGACATGTGCTCAAATATTTCACATTCTTAGGCAGCAACTCAGGGTGAATGACACCAGAAATGTCAGTTTTTAATAATGAAGGTAGAATATCTCTGCTTATATCGGTTCATGGTACACTGTAAAAAATAAAAATAAATCTGTAAATTTAAAAAAAAGTGAAAATCTGTCAGGAAGGGTGCTGGAGAAAATATGCCAAAAAATGTGGAAAACCAAAACAATTTCAAAAATGCAAAAAAACATAAAGAAAGAAACACTTAAAATACGGCAAATATCTGTAAAACAATTATATTCAAATTTTAGAAGCAATTAAATAGCCTACTTTTGCTAAATAATTTATTAAAAATACTAATTCTTCCCAGCTGACTCAGGGTGAAGGCAGGTTCACCTGGACAGGTAACCAGTCTATCACAGGGCTACACTTAGAGACAGACAACCAAGCACACTCACATTCACACCTACGGACAATTTAGAATCACCAATTAACCTCAGCATGTTTCTGGACTGTGGGAGGAAGCCGGAGAACCCGGAGAGAACCCACGCTGCACGGGGAGAACATGGAGACTCCACGCAGAAAGATCCCGGGTGTCCTCACCGGCAACCGGCAACCTTCTAGCTGCGAGGCGACGGTGATATCCACCGAACCACCTTGCAGCCCATTTTTCTCTCAAATAATGGCAAATACCTCGAGAATAATGATATACTTTCTGACTTAAATACAATAAAAATAGCTTCACTTTATAATCAAACGCTGTAAAAGAACTACTGTTTGTAAAGGATGTAGATTTTTGACATAATTTACAGTTTTTGCCTGTTTTTTTTTTATTGTTGTTGGGTTTTTTTGCAGTCAACATGTAAATAGATACCTTTTTTCAGTGACAAACTGACCGTTTTCAGTTAAAAACTACTTGAAAGCGGTGATGTTTTACAGTGTAGCTTAAAGGTGATCATTTTCAAGAATCTATGTTTGGTGAAGTACTTACTTGAGGGAGACATCGGATGTGCCCATCCGACTAGATTAGCCTCTCCTACTGATGATTGTGCTCCATCAATTTCCCGGTGAAGCCGCCAGATCCGTATAGTGTGGTCATCAGAACAGGAAGCAATCTGCCAGCAGAGCAGTGGGGTTTATACAGAGGCTCATTAAAACTGCTCAGCTTCACAGCAGGGAAATTTAAAGAAAGAAAAAAAAAAAACCTCCATATCCAATATAACATGACGCAACTTTACTGTAAGCTTAGACTAAAAATGAATTTAGCATCTGCAAGGCTAACTTCGTCAAAGAGGTAAATCACATGTGACCTTTTGTCTAACTGTGCTCATGCATACAAACAACAATGTTAACAAATATTTACAGCACATAATCTCATCTAGCAACACGTTAGTTTAGAGCAGGCTGACATGTAAAGGAGGTTTTCTGCTTGACAGACATAAACAGAGGGCAGACGTTGGTACTCTCTGTGTTCAGGAGATCAGAGGAGACAGAATGTAGGTTTTGCATTAAGACAAACATGCATATCCAGCTGGTGAAAGTGTGCAGATATTTCAGAATTAGAAAGTCATTAAGATGTGCGGCCTTACCTTAGTGAAGTCTGTCGGACACCATGCAACGGATGTGACTTCCTCACTGTGGCCTTGAAGCATCATGGGAGGATGTTGTGGCTCAGAGATCTAAAATGTGAAAAAAAGAAAACACTATTTGTTTAAAACTAGCAAATAGAAAGAAAACCATTACCAGTACATAAAGGCAAAATAAAATAGAAAACGTACCTTCCAAATGTATGCGTGGTTGTTACTGGAGCCGCTGGCTAAGAACTGGTCGTCTGGGCTGATAGTGGACTTGACATAAAACGAGGAGTTCTGGTGGCCGCTGAAAACTGCCACTGTGGAGGAAAATATACCAAAGGATTACTAAATAAAGCAAAAAAAGGTCAAGACACACTCAAATAAGGAAAAAAGGAACAGGGCGACACAATCAAGTCAAAATGAGAATAAATTAAAATAATTACACAGAAGCTTCATTTTGCTTTAGCTCGTGTGCATTTAGTGATTCAGTCAAGCCTCCAGTGACACCGTTGTTCCTTTTTGAACTGTAATGTGTCATGACGTGTTTTAAAATGGCTGCCTGTCTCTCACGGTGTCACTGTTCACCACCTGATTCGCTGCCATTCAGGACCAACGTCAGCGTATTCAGGGTCTGACTCAAAGATATCACGTTAATCTCACACAAGCACACAAAGCCTCACCACAGTACTTTTCATTTGTTTTAGCAGAGCCCTGTTGCTTCTTACGCTCATCCCTCTGACAGTGAAGGCAGAGGACATTAGCCCCATCTAGTGATGCATCAGTGATCAACTGGGAAATGCTGAATCAGATTCACAACATGTGCAGCCAGAACAAAGCGCCTGTTTACCCGGAGAGGTTTTCACTCCGCACACGTTGAACATGTAGATGCTGTCATCGGTGCAGTTACACATGACGTTGGATCGTGACGAGTCCAGAACAAGTCCGGAATAACCTGCAACACATGCAAAACCACCATCAGCTCACTTGTGGTCTTTTGCATACTTTCAAACACGATGGCCACCGGAGCTCAGGACTCACCGAGTCGTGTTCGTGTGCAGGACCCGGGGTACGGGTAGGCCTGCAGGGGTACAGGATCCTGATGGTGTGCCGTGTACGTCTTCCTCAGATCCCACATCTTGATTACTCTGATGAGAGGAATTGAAATAAGAAAAATAAGAATGAGCATGCAAGTCTGGGAGAGGCTCTTATGGTGAATTTTAATGACAACAAATAGTGTTTTTTTTACCCATCAACAGCCCCTGAAGAGATGAGAGTTTGATCATCCCGAAATAAAACCACTGTGACACTCTGTTGGGTGTCCTGCAAAAAAAAAAAACATGAAATACCCAAAGATCAGTCTTTTATCTGCACTGCTTCACTCTTTGTTTCATGAGACAGCTGTTGAGGAAACTCACCACGCTGGGAGCCATGCCACGCATGCCGCTCCGCCTCTTCTTTGTCTTTGAGGGAGGGTTCGTCTCTGCTTTGTTGTGAGCGCCGCTGATCTGTTTCACCTGTCTGTAGAAACCATCTGAGACGAAGACAGAAACACATGAACCCTCAAATCAATCGATCAAACTTAACGCAGCTCAGAGTGCTTCACTGAGAACTGATAAAATATAGGACTTTAAAAATAGATTATAGTTGAACAGATCATCGCCAGGAAAATAAAATATATATATCTTTAACTTACAAGCCAAAAATTATGTAAAACATTTAAATTAATACTGTTAATATATATATTATAATAGTTAAAAAAATAAATAGATTATAATAAAACATAGAACATAAAAATAAATTACAAAAATGTAGCTTTTGTGATTAAAATGTACAACTGATACCTTTTTTGCTGCACCTGGTGTCCCAGACCATAATATTCCCGTCTCTGGCCCCAGTGGAGAAAACAGCTGTTTAAAAGAAGACAAAGCATCAATAAAGTACAAGATATTTTAAATATTCACAACCAGGTTTCTTGTGTCGCGCAAACACCGGCGAAAAAAAGTTGAAGCTAAAAATTTGTTTTCATTGATTTTTAACATCAGTATGTTTTTGTACCTTCATAACACCAAAACTCCAACATCAGTGCAATGTGTTCTAGTGACTTTAAAAAGGACGAAACAACATAACCAAGCAACAGAGTCGGTGGCCGGTTTAAAGTTTACCTTTCTCCTGTGGTGCAAATGCGACAGACTTGAGGCTGCAGAGGTGACCCTTAAAGCTGCCCAACAGCTCCCCAGACTTCACATCCCACAGCCTGGCCGTCTGGTCACCTGCAGCAGTCACCTGAAGACGACACACATCAACAGAACACAATAAGAAAAGGCTTCATCTGTAGAGAAAGAATGATTTTACTCAGAGTGTTATATGCACTTACTAACTGAGGCTCCCCTGGTACCCAGGCGATGTCAAAGACTGCGTTCTCATGAGCGAGCCACTCTGCAAAGTTCACACGCAGTCAGCAGCTGATATTTTGTAATGATGAAGCTGAGAACAAAGAAATCTCCAAAAACAAACTACCTTTAAGGAGGGGGTTGTCCCGGCTCTCTGTGTTATAGATCCTAACGATGCCTTCTTCATTAGCTGCTGCCAGGACATGCTGTAGATCTCCTGCTGTAAAGAGACGAGGGAACAGAGTCAGTCAGGTACATGACAACATGGCCCTGCTCTCTGCAGCTGTAATGACACACACAAGTGGATTACCAGAGGAGAACGTTAATCCAAATGGGGGCACGGAGTCCCCCAGGTTCCCATAGGAGATGTGCTCATCATGTCGGATGCACTGGTAGCCGTCCAGCAGAGAGCTCAGAGGATACCTGGACCAGGGGTCTGCAGGGAGGGCTGCAAGATGGACGCAGGGTCAGAGAAAGGCGGCACATTTAGACGTTATCATCAAACTAGTCTGAGATATGGTTTGTGATTTCACTCCAGTGTGTTTTGAGGTAAATTTGGACCATTTAATCTACCATCTCAATGCTGGACTTCTTATTGTTTAACAAACCAGTAAAGACTTCCAGTGGAACTATTCTGTGGTAACGTGACAAATACATGTTGTCGTTTCACCAAAGCTGCTGTCCAGATTATCATACACACAAAACAACAGTAACAATTGTGTGCATTTGCTTTATATACCAAGCACACAAAACTAAAACTACTTACCAATGTGGTTTATTTGACACACAGGTTACTGCACCAAACACAGGTTTCTTCATTTCGATTGCATTTATTGTGTTAAAATCAATATTGTCAAGATTTTACAATAACACAGTAGAGTTGCAAAGAAGAATTGATAAATTTATAAGCTGTCAACTAATAAATGAATTCCCAACCATGTTGATAATCGATTAATCCATTTTTGCTTTGTTTGTTTTTTTTTTTAAAGTCGAAATTTTCGGATTCACAAATTTGAATATTTTCTGGGTTCCTTCCTCCTCTATAGCAGCAGACTGATTATCTTTAGGTTGTGGACAAAACTCACTGACATTTTTTTTTTTTACCATTTTCTGACATTTTATGCACTAAAACAACAAAATAATAACTGAGAAAAAAATGAATAATCAGCAATGGAAAAAAACTAAATTCAGCTGCTGTGGAGTTTATTTGACACAAAGGTTATTGTGCACAACTCTACTGAAGTATATCACAATCAATCCAAAACAAAAAAAACTTGATAAGTTGTCAACCATTACATTAAATCCTGACTATTTTGATAATTTCGCTTTTTTTCTTTCGAAGCCTAAATTCTCTGATTCCAGCTTCCTGAATTTGAACAATTTCTGGGTTCTTTGCTCCTTTGTGACAATAAACTGAATATCTTAAGACATTTTTCAGCCTTTCATGGACCAAACAACTCATGCAATGGAAACAATCGTTGGCTGCAGCCTTAATATGGTGATCTAGATGAAGAAATGTGACCACTGGTGGGTTTTACTGGCAATAAGCGAATACTTCAACTTTTGATTAATGGATTAGAGTTTTATTAGTAGATTTCTCACTTCTTTCTGGCATTAGGTCACAGTCATGTCACCAATATTTGATAATCACCCTCAAATGTAGGAAAATGAAATGGTGGTGAAACCCAGCAGGACAACATGGCGTTACAGGAACATCACGCGCTCATGTGGAGCGTTAAATTCTACGGTTATGGCGACAGAAGTGGATCAAAACCAACGATCCAACACTAACTGTGAAGGACTTACTGGTCCAGACAGAAAATAGAAAGGTTAGGCTGCATTCCCCTCCATAGTAGCAGAGCTAAAAACCCACCGGAGGGCCGCACAATACCCCGCAGGGCAAACCCCGGTAAGCCCACCACTCCTGGGTCTCACCGTTCTGCCTCCGCCGGCCCACTCCTCGGTCCACGATCGAGCGGAACAGCATCCCGACACCGCAGCAGCTCTGAAATATCTGTGGATAAATACGAGGAGTTTGTCAGATCTTTGGTCCCTGGTGGCTCCTGCTGATGCTCCTCTTCTTCTTCTTTCCCGCGAACAACAGCCCGACCGAATCCCCCGCTAAACCCGCGAAACCCGCTGCTATTGGTGGAAACAGCCACTTCCGCTCAGTAGATCCTCCCCTTCCGGTTTCTTTGTGCGGCTGTTTCAGTAAAGTTGGACACGATAGCTATGGAAACGGCTGTTTCTTCGACCATAAATAACACCCCACCTCGGAGAAATAATCATAATTATATAAACCAGGTGTTATGTTAGGATTTGTGAGGAATATTAGTATAGTTGGATTAAAGCAAACTAATTTCTAAGATCACAGCTGGTTGTGTTGGTGTTATTCATATCCTGGTCATGGTCTACTTGGGTGGACATGTTCGCTGCATTTTTGGATGTTTGGAGTTTAACTGAATAGAAGTTACTCAACTATAAGTACAAGTCCTGCATTACACGTTTTACTGAAGTGAAAGTACAGAGGTATCACAACAAAACAGAAAAAAACATGCAAAGTGCACTTTATGCAGGATGATCCCTGATAGAAGCATCATTATAATACTGGATATCTTTAGTAGTGGTGCATTAACATGGGAGCTGGAGTGCAAATGATATATTATGTTAAATAACAGGTCATATTTTTTGTAGGTAAAATCTTAAAATAAGTATAAACCACCTGTGAAATTATTTACATAACTTAATAAGGTACAATATTTGCCTCCTAAAGTGAAAATACAAATACTCCAAAATAACGCAGTGTCTACTTTGACAATATATACAATATTATTATATACAGTGTGTGATTTACACAGCTGGAAATGTGTTTATGTTTAAGCGAGAAAAGTTAAAAAGTTAAAAGAAATCCCTTTATATTCTGAGTTCAAGAAACTCGTTTGTTTGACAACAAGCACTTTATTTTGAAAATATAGACAGGATGTAGTGAAACCGAGTCACCGGTGTTCTTGCCCTAAACACCGTCAGAGCAGTGAGATGCTAACGGTTCATGGCTGATAGTAGACATTTAGTTTGACTTAAATAAACCAAACAATAATGTCGCTTTCAACGGCGCGGTCCTTCCTGTCGGAGGCCTGCTATGGCGAACAAGAGCTGGACGCGAACTCCGCTCTCATGGAGCTGGACAAAGGTGCGTTAGCTAGCCGGCTAACGAGTTAGCATGCGGCTCATTGATTTGTGTGTCCTGTCCTCTCCATGTGTCACGTTTGAAATCACCCAAGGCTGTAAACAAACAGTGTGTGGACGTTACTGACTGTGTAGGAGCTCCCTGCCTTGTTGTAACTGGTGGAAATGGTTTGTTTTCAGGGCTGCGGTCGGGGAAACTGGGGGAGCAGTGTGAAGCTGTGGTGTTGTTCCCCAAACTGTTCCAGAAGTACCCGTTTCCCATCCTCATAAACTCTGCCTTCCTCAAGCTAGCAGACATCTTCAGACTTGGGTAATATTAATTAATCAATTATTAATGTTCATAAACTGCATTTGTTGCATTCATTTCCCATATTAGTATTAGCACCCCAAGCTAAGACTAATGTAGGCTGTGACAAGATGACAACAGCTTTGCAATAATTTAGTTTTTGGTCTCATGTAGAAAGAAAGTCAAAGAAATTACAGCTGAATCATTTTGAGAAAAAATCTACTGATTTTTTTTTTTCTGAATGATGATGTGATTATTGTTTGATTTGTGATTTAATTGTTTAAAGTCAGACTAAAGTTTAATCTTCTCTGTGTGATACAACATGAGATGAAGCACATGATAAACTAAAAACTGTTACACAAAGAGAACGGCATGAATTTATTAAACTGTTGTCACACACGCTGCATAATATATGCTCTAAATTGAAACCTTTGTGATTTAATTATAATTTAAAACAGATAAAGTCTTCACTCCCACTCCGTTAATATATGATAAATAATATCCAAAGCTTCTTAGATAATGAAAGATGAGTGCATTTTTAAGTTTTAATGTGCCGGGAGCATCTTTGTTTATAGAATTTTCTCTCTTTTCAGCAACAACTTCCTGCGGCTCTGTGTGCTCAAAGTCACTCAGCAGAGTGAGAAACATTTGGAGAAGATTCTCAACGTGGACGAATTTGTCAAACGTGTTTTTTCCGTCATCCATAGCAACGACCCCGTGGCCAGAGCCATCACTCTGAGGTAATGATGTGCAATGAAAATGGAACAAAGTTGTACATTATGCAGGCTGGCACAGGGTTTGCGACATAACATTAGAATAAATGAGACACAAGCTTGCCAACTTACAGCTCTGTCCAGTCGTCTTAGATTTAAAATAAACAATTCTCCTGTTGTTTCCTCCGGTCAGGATGCTCGGCAGTTTGGCCTCCATCATCCCAGACAGGAAGAATGCCCACCACAGTATTCGCCAGAGCCTCGACTCCCATGACAACGTGGAAGTGGAGGCTGCCATCTTTGCTGCTGCAAGCTTCTCTGCCCAGTCAAAGTGAGGAAGTTCGTCACTAAAACCGAGCTGCGCCGCATGGAAATGAGATGATGTTTTGCATAATGTAAATCTGATGTCTGTTTGTGTTTGTGTTTAATTTTCAGAGACTTTGCAGCCGGAATTTGCAACAAAGTCAGCGAGATGATTCAAGGTGAAATGTTTATTCTGTATTAGAAGTGTCACAGATCACATTAAACAACAGAGCATTTTCTTAAGCTTCATCATTTAATAACATTAATAATAATCAGTAAATAGTCGACACAGCTATCCAAATACTTTAATGAAGGCGTGAAGTGGTGGATCAGTGTATCTGCTGAGTCCGTTTACTTACTTATTTAGTTTGTTTCCTCAACAGGCTGAATGCCACTATTAAGATCTGTTCATTGTTTATGTTGTAAATCAAATGTGCAGTACTGAAATTACCAGGAAGAGGGAAGAAAGAAGAAGAAAAAAACATTGTAAATACATAATTTACCAAATCCAAAGATAACTTTTTAATTTTTTACCAGAAGCCAAATTTAAAATTGTGATTATTTGCCTTTGTCTGCACCAAATAAGAACATTCCCTTACATCTGGAAAATCTGATGTATACGCCAGAGCATCTCTGTAGCAACACAAAGCTTCATTCATGATGGCATGTCATGACATACACTATATGACCAATATCAAAAAAACTGCTGTGACTTCGATCATGTTCAGCCCTTGTTTACTTTTCTATTTAATCTATACATCAGGTTTGGACACGCCAGTGGAACTGAAGCTGAAGCTGATCCCCATGCTGCAGCACATGCATCATGATGCCAGCTTGGCATCCAGCAGCAGAGAGCTCCTCCAACACCTGGTCAACTCCTATCCCTCCACCCCCATGGTCATCGTCTCGCTGCACACCTTCACCCAGCTGGCTGCCTCTTCCCTCATCGATATCCCCAAGCAGGTATTCCCATGTCTCTGACTGAGCAGTGCTTCAGTGTTAGTGGTTAGTGTTGTTAAATACTCGCTGTGGTGTTTAAACTCTGACAAGAGACTTTGAAATGTTTGGCTCAAGGTTTACCCTCTGGAACCCTTAAAATGTCAAGATGATGGACTTTTGGTTTCCTTATCTTTATAGTTACAGCTTCTGCTTCAGTACCTGAAAGATGATCCAAGAAAAGCTGTGAAGAGACTCGCAATTAATGACCTGAAGCTGCTGGCTAAAAAGGCTCCTCATCTGTGGATCAGAGAAAACACTCAGGTAACGTTCCAGCTGCAGGATTATCTCCGTGTTGGTTTAAAGTCTGTATGCGATCCAATGGCTTTTATCTCTGCAGACCCTGTGTGAGTGTGCGCTGACCATCCCGTACAACAGTTTGAAGCTGGGGATGTTGGCTGTTCTCTCCACCCTCTCTGGAACTATTGCAGTCAAACAGTATTTCACTAATGTGGCAGGTAATAGTCACTTTTAACTTTATCTGTGTACTTCCACTGCTGTCATTTATACAGTCGTCCTCAAATGTATTCATCCCCTCCCATTAAAGAAAAGGCAAAATTCACTATAACCACTCAAATAACTAGAAACTGAAAAAAAATCATAATAAATAAAAATTTGCTAAATTATAATTTAGTGAAATAAGACATTGCTTTTGAATTGTGGTTAAAAAGAATAATTAAAAAAATTAAATAAAATGAAACGGACCTGGACAAATGAGAGCACTTTGCTGATGAGCAGTGAAATCCAAACACCTGTCAACAGGTGCAGAAGTCTGACTGAGAGTTACAGAAAACACCTGATTGGCCCAAAGGGTTGTTCAACTAAATATTAGTTTACGGGTCCCATCGTGCTGGTTTGATTGTTTTTTGCTTTTTTTATATATATTTCTGTTGAACCACAATTCAAAAGCAACATCTTGATTTTCATTATTTTTTTATTTATTATTACTTTTGTCAGTTTCATCTTATTTCAGTGACTGAAGCTGTTTTTTTTCCTTCTTTAATGAGAAGGTAAGAATAAATCTGAGGACGACTGTATTCTGTGAAAGAGAACAACTCAGAACTGACGTGGATTCTGTAAAACTTTCTTCTCAGGTGGCTCTGCGGTTCCCCCACGGCTCACTGACCTGGTTAAACTGGCACAAGAATGCTGTTACCACAGCAACCTGGCAGTGGCTGCTCACGGGGTCGTAGTGCTCTCCAACATTTCCATTTCCTGTCCAGAGAAAGGTTAGTTAGAGCGGACAGCGGCTTGTTTTAGGGGGTTCTGTGGTGCCAGTTGTCAATAAGTGCTTTTATCTCAGATTCACGTCTTCCTTTGCAGTTGTTTGCCATTGTTGAGTGCTGCTGTGTCTATTTCCCTTCCTCAGATATAGTACAATTGGAGCAGGACACAGTTTTGGGAGTGGAGTCCCTTCTGATGCTCTGCAGTCAGGACAGCAGCCCCAGTGCACAGGCCACGCTCAAAGTAAGACGACACTGTTAACACGAGTGAGAGAGCACAGAGGCTGGATGGACGCCTCAGGGCAATATGTTTAGCATATAGCATAGAAAACAATCAGGCTGCATCAAATACGTGGTCGTGTTTGCCAACTGATG